ATCCTACACAACACTTGCTCTCTTTTGTTTTTAAATAATAGCCATCCTAATAAGAGTGAGGTGCTATCTCACGGTGGTTTTGATTTGCATCTCACCAATCGCTTGTGATGTCGAGCGCTTTTTCGTATGGTTGGCCATTTGCATGTCTTCTTTGGGAAGATATCTGCTTGTGCTCTCTGCCTACTTTTTAATCAGCTTATTTGGATTTTTGCTATTGAGTTGAGTGAATTGCTTATGTAGTTTAGAATTTAACCCTTTATCTGATATGTAGTTTGCAAATATTTTGTCCATTCTGTAAGCTGTTTTTTTCATTTTGTGGATTGCCTCCTTTGCTATGTAGGAGCCTTTTAGTTTTACGTAGTCCCATTTGTTTTCTTTTGCCTCTGTTTCATTTGCTTTTGTTTTGTTGCCAAGTCCAGTGTCAAGCAACAGTATCCTCAAGGGTACTTTGGACATATGATACTAAAAAGGATCTTAACTTTCCCCAAGAACACCAAACTCCCAGTAAGTCTCACATTGAAAGCTGGCTTCAGTGCATCAGTAATTTTATATAAGAATTTAATAGCTTCAGGGAAATTAAGGTTCCATCTCCTTTGTGGATTTTAGCTGCACTGCAGTGTTCACAATTGAATACACACAAGAGGCAATTATTGAACAATATGTACATGCTATTGTGACAGTTAAGAAAACATATCTGGTCTAGTTTACATATATATGCAACACACAGACACACAATACTTAATCTATTCAAAATCTGTTCCTAACCTCTAAATCCCTCAGACCTTAAGGAAATAAAACCAAGGTCGTAGGTATATAATTGCAAAGATCCAACTGTGACCTATTTAACCAATCATTTCATGAGCTAATTCAGAGGTCCTGTGTCTACCAAACCTCAGTGTCTTTAACATTCATAATTAAATTTGAAAACTGAAAGCTCATCTTGCCAGCTTTGCTTTAGTATCTGTGAAGTGTGTGGTTATCATACTGAATCTTGTGGACAGGCTCTACCTTTCTAGAATCTAGGCTTTTCTTTTTATTATGATGCCAGTTTACAGTAAAGGATGGCCACTGCTTTCTAAGAAGACATCCCATCTTGAAACTTGAGAGATTCAAAATGAACCCCGAGTATCCATTTGAAAAAGTTACCTGAATTTCTCTGTGTTCCTTGAAAAATCGAATTTAAAAACACAGACAGTTTCTATCTATAAACATCTGTGATTTAAAAATGCTCACCAGGGACCACTGTTCTTCACTCTGGAGTAGAGAGGGGATAAGAGACTACTTGTCCAGATCCTCTGAGAGACAGCTGCCAAGAAAAAATTAAATACAAAGGATTTTTTAGGAGCTGTGAGAAGAAATGAGGAGGGAGATGGGAATATTTGGGAGAGCTGGCGGACAACTGAACACCTGACCTGGAGAGAACCTGAAAGTGAATAAAGTGGGATGAAAACCTACTCTGCCACTTTGCGGTCTAAGTTCCAGCAAGGTTTTCTGGGTATTTCTGAACCCAAGCTAGTCATCAGCAGAATCCTATGTCTCCCAGAAAGACCCTCTTAGCCTGAGCCATGATTGGCTGGGAGCAGCCCTGGGAGATGTGGCCTCAGCCCAGACTCAGTGATGAATTATGGAGCCCATTGCCTGGGTCCCTGGGATTTCAATCTCATGCCATAAGTGTTTCACATGCCACACACAAGATGGAGAATAATTTAGGTAATATGTATAGAAGATAACTTCTTTATTATTCAACTCACTACTATAAAATGCTGTATAGCAAACCACCCCCCACGTCTGTGCACTGCTTATCAGCCTGCCTTGTAATATTTGTGCTGAAAACTGCACATGTGAAAGAAACTTAGATACTAGAAACTGAGTAAGTAGGCATTTAGTGTGAAGTTTTAGGTTAAGCTGGCTAAGAATTGGGCTACGTTTGTTTATTTTTTAAAATCTATTTCTTTGGCTGCACTGGGTCCTAGCTGTGGCAGGTGGTACTGATGTGACCTGCAGGATCTTCAGTTGCAGCATGGCATGTGGGATGTGGTTCCCTGATCAGAAATTAAACCTGGGAAACTGTATTGGGAGCAGAGTCTTAGCCACTGGACCATCAGGAATGTCCTGGGCTATGTTTAATATCTATCCTGGCTATAGGTACAAAAGATTTCAAGTTCCTCCTGCATGCTTTTTGTTTTGTTTTGTTTTCTCCCCTGTTGACTTGGAGATTTCCTAAGTATTCCACTTCAGAGAGATGTTACCCCTTACAAAGAATGGATATATTCCCCCATTACTATAATTTTATTGCTTTAAGGGCTTATTAATCGATCTATCTATCCATATATTCATATTCACACAGCATATTACCATTGAGATTAACCTCTCAATATAATATCATTCAGATCCATTGAAGTTGTTTTGTACAATCACAGTTCATTCCCATTTATTACTGAGAAGTATTCTGTTGTATGGACATAACTCTGTCCATTTAACTGTTAGAAGACATTTGAGTTATCTCCAGTTTTTGGCAATTACAAATAAAGCTGCTATGAACACTCATGCATAGATTTTCATCATTCTAGGATAAATATCCAGGAATGTGATTGTTGGGTCAAATGATGATCATATGTTTAACTTTACAAGAAGTTGAACCTGTTTTCCAGAGCGGTAGTACCATTTTATATCCCCACTAACAATGTATGACTTTTCACTCTCATGCATTGGAGAAGGAAAAGGCAACCCACTCCAGTGTTCTTGCCTGGAGAATCCCAGGGACGGGGGAGCCTGGTGGGCTGCCATCTATGGGGTCGCACAGAGTCAGACACGACTGAAGTGACTTAGCAGCAGCAGCAGCAATAATGTATGAGACATCAGTTATTCCACAGCCTTGCTAGCACTTAAAATTGACACTACTTTTAAAAATTTTAGTTCCCCTAATCATTGTATAACAGTGTATTATTACAGCCTAAATTTGCACTTTCTGGCTAGCACAGCTGGTAAAGAATCTGCCTGCCATGCAGGAGACCTTGGTTCAGTTCCTGGGTCTGGAAATTCCCCTCGAGAAGGGATAGGCTATCCACTCCAGTACTCTTGGGCTTCCCTGGTGGTGCAGACAGTAGGGAATGTGTCTGCAGTGCAGGAGACTTAGGCTGGGAAGACCCTCTGAAACAGGGAATGGCGACCCACTCCAGTATTCTTGCCTGGAGAATTCCCCTGTCCATCGGGTCACAAAGAGCTGGACACCACTGAGCGACTAAGCACTGCACAGAGCCTAGATCTGCATTTCAATAATACCAGTGATGTTGAACATGTTTTATGAATATTTGTCATCCTTTTATTCTCTTTCACGAAATGTCCAAGATTTTGTCCATTTTCTAATTGAATTGTTTGTTCTCTTAATATTCAGTTTACAAAATTCTCAATATATTCTATACTCAAAGCTTTCAAATATATGCTTTGCCAATAATTTATCCTAATTTATAGATCATCTTAACTGGGTCTTTTGCAAAGCAAAATTTTAAATTTTTAATAAATCTTAAGTTATTAATATTTTAATAGATCATAATTTTGGTGACATACCTGAGAACTCATCACTTCATACTTTTTATAGATTAAAAATAGTAATAGATAAATATAGACAGAAATGTAATGAAATGTATTTTTGAGAGTAAATGAAACATATATAATGCAAATACATATTTGCATAATATATAAATATATGTACATTTATAATGCTTGTATATGTATACATATATATAGCCACAAAATAAATCTACCAAATAAATCATGCCCGAAAGAAGATATTAACTTGTAAGAGGAAATTTATAAAATTATAAGAGTGTTTATTTACATAACCTCATGCTAATAAATTTGAAAGCATAACGGAAATGGATGATTTTCTAAGAAAATTTGAATTACCAAATTTAAAGTCTAAATAACACAATGCACGCATGTGTACTCAGTTGCTCAGTCGTGTCCGACTCTTTGTGACCCCGTGGATTGTAGCCCACCAGGTTCCTCTGTCCATGGAATTTTCCAGGCAAGAATACTGGAGTGGGTTGCCATTTCTTACACCAAAATAACAATAATCATGTAGAAAATGCAGTAAATATTTAAATACCCATCTACACAAAATATTTTATTAAAATGTAATTTCCTTATACCTGTTTGTATGTATATATGCAAGTTAATGTATTTATAGCACACAATAATAGCCAGCATCATGATTAATACTGGAACACTAGGCACTTTCTCATTTAAACTAGGAACAAAAGAAGGACAATTATAATCATCACTATTCTTTATAATTGTTCTGAAAATAAAAGAAATATAAATACTGGAACTAGGAAGAAAATAATAACAATTATTTGCAAATTATGTGATTATACATTCAAGAAATGTTAAGAAAATGACAATTAGAATTAATAGAAGAATTCAGTAATGCAGTCAATCACACAAAAATAATCAAATATAGTTTTCTTAATAATAATAACCCTTTAGAATTTGTAATACAGAAAATTATTGCATTTACACTTGTAATATTTTAAATACTGATATTATTTCACAAATATAAAATAATAAAAAATTTCTTAAAAAACTGGAAATAGAACTGTCATATGACCCAGCAATCCCACTTCTGGGCATACACACTGAGGAAACCAGATCTGAAAGAGACACGTGCAACCATGGCTGATTCATGTCAATGTATGACAAAACCCACTACAATATTGTAAAGTAATTAACCTCCAACTAATAAAAATAAAGGAAAAAAAGAATAATATATAAAAAAATAATAATAAAGAAAGATATCAAATAAATGGACAGGTATTATGTAAAAATATTAAAATCTATACAAGGACTTAGACTTGAATAAATGGAGAACTATAGCTTATGTGTATATAGCTATAATACTGGAAATAAGTCAATTTCCCTAAAATTAACCAATACATTCAATACAGTTTATAATCAAAACAAGTATGATTTTGCTTTTCTTTCTTTGATAATAAGTATTCTTTTTTTTTTCACTGTTCAAGCTTTATTTATTTAGTTGGTGTAACACTTAGTTGGCGGCATTATTTATGTAATTTTTCCCTTTTACATTACAAGGCAGTGCACACTATTCTGATTCATACAGTACGTAAGATTCTTTAGAACAGTTATGCACGTGGCATGCAATACTGGATTTATACATTGGATCCCAGGATGTGATTCACTGGAGGGAAAAAGTTGGACTAGGCACCTTGGCTAAAGGAACCAGAGGTTATATAACACAGTAAATACACATCTGGCTTGAAGGGCAACTGCAGCATCAGCAACATGGGCAGTGGTACCTCTTGAGGAAGCTGAATTATTTGACAAACCAGTTTAGGACACACAAGGTAAGTGCCATCCAGCATCAGGATACAGCTGCAAGGTTTTATGGACCATTCCTATTTCTAACATTAGGAAATTGATTTTTCCCTAGGCTGTCTTAACATTACTGTTTTAATCACAGATCAGATATAAAGGACAGTATGAGTTACAACCTCCAACTAAAATCCTGTGTAGCCTAGACAGTGAAGTGATACATTAGAAGACTTTAAAACTGCAGTTCTTTCTGGATCCCCCAAAGTGTATCTGCACTCTTCTTCAAACAGGCCTCTTCCTCATGAGTCAGAGTCACTTTCACAACGTCTGAGATTCCATTCTGTCCCAAGATGCAAGGAACACTAAGGAAGACATCCTCTTTTATTCCATAGAGACCCTTAATCATGGTGGAAATCGGATGCACCCGCCTAAGAGTCTTCATTATACTTTCGGCCAAATCGGCCACTGACAGTCCAATGGCCCAGGATGTGTAGCCTTTCAGTTTGATCACCTCATAAGCACTGTCAACCACCTGTTTGTGAACCGCTTTCCACTGTTCCTTATCTGCATCAGTGCCTAATTCAGGGTGTAAATTCTTCAGGGAGACACCAGCAACATTCACTCCACTCCATACAGGCACACTAGAGTCGCCATGCTCCCCAAGGATCCACCCATGGCAGCTTAATGGGTGAACTCCCGGCCTCTCCCCCATGAGATAACGGAACCGAGCTGAATCCAGATTGCAACCACTTCCAATAACACGGGTTTTGGGAAAGCCACTTATCTTCCAAGCCACATAGGTCAAAATATCGACTGGATTGGAAACAACAAGCAACTTGCAATTTGGGCTGTATTTTACAAAATTAGGAATGATAAATTTAAAGATGTTCACGTTATGCTGGACCAAATTAAGACGGCTCTCTCCCTCTTGCTGACGTGCCCCAGCTCTGATAATAACCAGCCTGGAGTTTGCTGTCACATTATAGTCTTTGCCAGAGACAATTTCTGGTGTTCTAAGGAAAAGGCTGCCATGTTGGAGATCCATCATCTCTCCCTTCAGTTTATCTTCCATGACATCAACAAGAGCAATTTCATCTGCCAAGTCCTTCATTAAGATACTGATGGCACAGGCCATGCCAACAGCACCAACCCCAACAACTGTAATCTTATTCTGGGGGACATGTTCTTCCTTAAGAAGATTCTGAATCAGTTGGTCCTTGAGAGTTGCCATCTTGGACTTAGAACCTAAAGGAATCGGGAGTGACCGTCGAACGGGCGGGCGTCGGAGGCCGCGCGGCGTGGGATCCGGACTTGGCGGCAGCGGCTCCGGTACTCAGTGGGGCGCGGGAGGGGCCTTGAATGGAACCGCGAGTGATAATAAGTATTCTAATGCTTACCTGGGACAATAAATATACAAAAGTGGCTAGGGGAAAAAAAAACTGAAATAGAAGATACATAAAGAATTTGGTTTACCAAATAGTAAAGTATGTTGAGTGACATCACTAAAGATGACAGAGTAGAAAGCTTTGGGAATTGGTCTCCCCATCAAAACAGCTATTAAACTGGCAAGAACAATCAGAATCAAGTATTTTGGAATTCTAGCATCCAGTCATTTACTTGTAGTATCTATGGGAGTCTTTGAAGAAAGAGGCTGATAAATTTCAGTGGGTTTTGCACAATAATCACCCTCCTCCATCTCCTAGCCCTGTGGCAAACAGCCAAGGGGTATCCAGAGTGGTACAGCTTGTTGGTTTCAGAATGTGGAATAAGGAGCTTGTTCTCTAAAAAAAAAGAAGCAGTGTGATTTACCTGCCTGATGGGTCATTGAGACTAGCAGAGAGGCAATCCATTGTTGAAAACTTATTTGCTAAAGTGGCTTCGCAGGCAGCATCTGCAGAAGAAACTAAGAAAGGCAGAACACCTACTCTCTCTGTTTCTCTCATTGGATCTAGGCACTCAAGGAAATTCTGTCAGGTTACTGGCTCACCATGAGAAAACAGAACAAATACTTCGGTGTCCTCACAGACAGGAAATAGAGCCTTTGCTAAAATCATTTGGAAAAGTTACTAAACAAATGTATAAACTGTATCCCTCAAGAAGAAACAACAATAATCCCAGGGGAGGAAAAGGAATCTGATTTCAGAGTTACCAAAATACCATATTCAAAATGCCTAGTTCTCAACAAAAAACTACAAAGTGACACACACACACACTCACACAGAAGTATGGCCCAATCTCAGAAAGAAAGCATCATCCATTCAGGACGGCCAGGCATGTAACTTACTAAACAAAGACTTGAAATAGACAGTTTTAAATATGCTCAAAGAGTTGAAGGAAATCATGGACAAAGAATAGTGGAAGGCAACCAGGAGACCAGTGCGTGAACAAGTAGGAAACAGAAATTAAAAATGGAACCAAATAGAAAATCTGTATTAAAAAATAAAGTAACTGAAATGAAAAACTTACTACAAAAGTTAAACCAGAGATTTTAACAAGTAGATAAAAAAGAATCCTTGAATACAACGGTAGGGCAATTTAAATTAACCAGCCTTAGGTGAAGAAAGAAAAAGAATGAATAAAACTGATCAGAGCCTAAGCATACTGACATAAATATTATGGGATTTCCAAAAGGAGAAGAAATAAAGGGGTGGAAAGACTATCTGAAGAAATAACAGCCCCAAACTCCCCAAATTCAATAAAACACATGAACCTACACATCCAAAAATGTTTCATGATTCCTGAGCAAAGAGATATGCACAAAGATACACTAAAATTAAACTGTTGGAAGACAAAGATAAAGTCTTGAAAGCAGCAAGGGATTCTCATATACAACGGATCCTCAAGAAGAAGAATAATGGCTGACTTCTCAGTTGAAACTCTGCAGGCCATAACGCAATGGAGATATATACGCACTTTAAGTGCTGGATGAAAAAACAAACAAGAAAAAGCTGTCAATATAGAGTCTATATCCAGTATATCCAGGAAAACTATTCTTCAAAAGTGGAAAATCAGAAATTAAGACATGCTCAGATTAAAATAAAAGCAAAGCCTGTCTTTTGTTATAGATTTGCTCTGCAAGAAATGCTGAAAGGAGTCTTTCAAGTTGGAACAAAAGGACAGTAGAAAGTAACTCAAAGCTATGTGAAAATAAAAAATTTTATAGTAGGGCTAAATATATGGGGAAATAGAAAAACCTGTATAGTGGAAACGCTGGGTTATAGGATTTGTATATGTTCATTTTTAGTGGGCACTTTCAGCTTCTATTTCAAGAGTTTCATGGGAAGGTGGTATAGACTTAGCCATAGGAGCATGTGGCTACATTTCATTTATAACCTTATGATTTTCCGCTTAAAACTTAACAAGTCTATATCTTTCTGGGCTGAAGCTGAGGTTTTTTTTTGTTGTTGTTGTTGCGAATTAGGCAATTTGGAAAGTGGCACTAACTTCTTATCTCCCTGGGGCTATGGCCTATGTTATTCATAGATTGGTAGGAGATGGGAGTTCTTGCCATCAACACTGTCTTACACAGGGAAAATGTCCTAACGCACCATCATCTAATATTCTCCTGGGAAGGATGATGGGTCTGAAAATTAGAGTGTGTCGAGTAAGCACCAGTAACAGCATCATTTATCATGTGAAGCCCCACAGAGAGGGAGCAGCTTATTTAAGGGCCATGCTAAGGAGATGCAAGCTCTCAGGGCAAGAGGGGGTCCTGCCTCCCTCCTGATGCTTCTTCTGTGGCTGTGTCTTGGTGGAGGGAGGCAGAGTCTTAGGATTTGAAGGAGGACATGCCTGGATGGGGGAGAGAAAGACAGTGACACAAAGAGAAAGAGGTGCTTCTTTGGTGGTGCAGTGGTTGAGAATCTGCCTGCCCACACTGGGGACATGGGTTCAATCCCTGGTCAAGAAGCTAAGATCCAGCATGCTCCAGAGCACCTAAGCCTGTACACTGCAAGTGCTGAAGCCCAAAGCACCACGGTGAAGACCTAGTGCAGACAGACAGACAGACACACACACACACACACATGCACACACACACAGATAAAGAGAAAGACAGACACCTTTACTTTTACTTAAAATGCATACCTTATCATCTTTTATGGCTCTGAGGTAAAGCACCTGCCCACTGTGAGGGTCAAAGAGAGTTTTTCACTCATTTTCTGCTTGACAGTCACACCGACAAATTTATTCAAGAGAATCTAGAGTAAAGGGGAAAAATGTGGACTGGGTGGCCTCCCTCCAAAAGGCCCACCTGGCAGATGGATGTGACTGATGGGAGCAAAAGGCAAAATGCACAGAGAAAAACTCATTACAGCATTTTTCTTAATAGTGGGTTGAATTTGTATGTTCTTTCCTGTCTATCTTTTCCCCTTGGTTGGTACACCAGCTGTCTAGATCACTTCCTTCACAGACTTTTCCCTTTGGTGGGGAAGACATGGAAACATACAGGAAACAACACCCAAATAAGACACAAATTATGGATCAAAGTGATTTGTAAGAATATGAGAGTATTTTTGAGCTTACCAACTATATCAACAGGAAGGTGACTGATGTGGCCTTGAAATTGCCCCATGGCAGAATTATACCCTAAAACATATGCCTAAAAATCTATTTAAATAAAAATTTGGTTATACTTTTTAATACATTTATTTTCTTTTCCTAATGAAATGTAGACTTCCAAGGAGTAGGGATCAGGGCCCCCAGAAGAATCACATGCACATTCAAATGAGGTGGCTCAGTGGTAAAGAGGTAAAGAAACTTCCTGCCAATATGAATCCTGGGTTGGGAAGATCCCCTGGAGGAGGAAATGACAACCCATTCCAGTATTCTTGCCTGGAGAATCCCATGGACAGAGGAGCCTGGCGGCTACAGTCCATGGAGTCACAGAATCAGACACAACTGAGCGCCTGAGCACACACGCACACAATATGTTTACAAAACTGTGCCAGATGAAGGGGAATCACAAGGAACTGTGAAGCCCTTGGGGCTAGCAATAGTGAAGGGCTCTATCACTCCTACGGGGTTATAGACTAAAAAAAAAACAGCACCCGGTTCCCAGGAGCTGTGGCTGTATGTGGAGAATCTTAGCTAACTTGGAGGAGGGAGCCAAATTCCACTTCCTGTCCTCCTTGCATCCCCCACTGTTCTCTCCCATTGGATGAATCCTGCGGGAAGCTGGGCGAGGGGGCGAGGAGCCTGTTGATTGGTCCATGAAGGTAAGCTTCCCTTGCCCTCAAGTAGAAAATGGCCAGAGGCCAAGAGGAGAATATCCAACAGCACATGGATAGTTAAATTTCTCATAAACATTCTCAAAGAACAGAGCTCTTTGTTTAGAATGTGTTCTTTTTGTAAAAAATGTACACCTATTGTACTGTTATTATTTAATGTTTATTAAACACTTCTAGCTCATTAAGCATTCATAAATTAGGGCCTAATTTTGCAAGCTCCTTTTCCTAGCTATGAAAATCAGCAGGTTTTCCTCAGTTGCCTTTATCTGGTTGAAAGAAAAAAATGTCTAAACGAATGTTAGAGGGTTATGTGAAAACTCTGAAAAAAGTATCAACAATCAGCTACAAAAGGGGAACACAAGACTTCCTGAAGCATCTATAATTATATTAGGAATTTACAAAGAAGACACTCTCTGTTGGTTCCAAACCTATATTTACAGGCTAAAATACCTGGTTGGATCCTTTTCAGTCCTAGCTATTGATTTAGGAATTCATAGAACTATTTCTTCTCCTGCTCAGTAGAAAAGATTGCTTACCATAGCAACCCCTGCATTAACATGCAGCTTCCTGGTTACAAAGTACCTTCCTAAAGAGGATGAACATCAATGTGAGACATGATCCCAGTTTTTAAAATATAGTTTTAAGGGAGGAGGCAGTTATATTAAAACTCATAACAAAGAGGACAACCCAAGATGGAGATTAGCAATAGTTTAAAGCTTTTATGCAATTATAGAATCTGCATGTATTTCCTGATCCCAAGCACTCTGTTCCATTTGCGCTTCTATAAGCCAAAACGGGTGGGAAATAATACAATATTATATTCAACCCATAACCCACATAAGAAGCTTGCTGCTCTCTATGGGGAATTTTAACATGGGTCAGCTTCACCCTACTTATCCTAGATTTATCTTTGTTCTTTTTGTTAGAGAAAGGCAAATTTCTGGTCCTGCCACTCAAAATCTCAAAGTGAAAATATTTAGACTAATTTAAAGTGAATTTCCGTGATGTCGATCAAGTGTCTGAAACACTAGTGATTGTTTTCACCTTGTCTTGTGACGTGAGGCAGCATTTTAATTAGGAAAGAATAATAATGACTTGTGCTCATAAT